CCCCCCCGTTTGGCACCCATCTAGTCCTCTCTGTCATTCCTATCACCTAATGGGGTTTCCCTCTTCCTCTCTATGATCACGCAGTGGGTGAACATGTGTTGGAATAACATGTTTGGAAAAAGGGTGGTTTGTACTGAACCATTAACAGCGAGACGTTCCTGCAGGCCCACGGGGGCAGCTGGGGACCTGCCGTGCCCCTACTGGCACCGCTGTTCTAACCTACCAGCCCCCCCCCCCTTGGTCCAGTACAAATCCACTGTGATGTAGTGAGTTACTAGCTGTGACAACCCCCTGCCCTCCAAAAAAATCTGTTTGTCATTCTTTCATTTTGGTAGATGGAATAACAGATGGTTGGGCAGGCAGTATGTCGCAGTGCTATTGTCCTTTATTGCTGAACTGGGGCTCCCCCTGGTGGCTACTTTATTCCAGATTGGATTGTTTTAGTAGCTGTACTACAAAAGTAGTATTAAAAGCCTATACTAAATTTAGCATTTAATACTGCCATATCTTGAATGTGTAATTTTATTTTTTAATTTGGCTTTTATTTACCCCATTGAGTTTTTTTTGTTTTTGCTTTATAATGCTGCCACCTATCTAGTTTTGTAAGGCATTTACCCCAGTAAGCAGTACAATGATTTCCATTTTAATTTCATTTTGTGTTCTTTTCTTCCTCGTTTGTTCGTTTCCATGATTTTGGCTGTTGTCTTTCCCCCAGGAGGTATGTACACTTACCCTTCTCAAATTTGCCCATCGCTCTGCTCTTGGGTGCTTCCAGTGGTCCGCCATACTTTTCTGTTTGATTTTGCTTTTGTTAATTTTACTTGCAAACTGAGTTTTATTTGGTCTTAATTTTTTTTTTTCCTGGTTTCCCATCTGTCTTGTTTCGTTTGGCCCTGTCATTCCAAGCCGATCGGTGTCCACATTTCGCTGGCTCTCTATGTGGTCGCCAGGCGGGGTGCTTTCAGCTCTGGCCTTCGGTCAGCCACGGTCACCCTGTTTTTGCTGTGGTGCTTATTCTGGCTGGGGTCCGTCTTGGAAGTTGCAGTATCCCCTCTTCTGCGTGTATCTCACCCTTTCCAGTGGTGGGCAGTAAAGAACACAGAGGGGTTTTTCCAAGTTCTTTGGTCATGTGAGCTACATATGTACCTCGATCCTTCCGTGTTTTCTGATTGGATGAAGAGGTAATACTGCATCTGCCAATCCGGGCCAAGCTCCGCTCTCTTCTGTGCTGTGACGGAATCTAAAGACTGACCGTGTGCCCCAGGGGTGTTGGACTGGGGGTGTGGCATGTGGGGGGGGGGGGGTGGTGGATTGGTCCACTGAGGCATGGCTCCTTGACACCCTGAACACACGGGGTTTGCATGACTTCACCCCCCCACAGAGGTTGATGGTGATAACTGTCTACCAAGTGTTTGATGCAGCTGTGTTGTGATGACACCTGAAGCCAAATAACACTTCCCATGTTTCTCTCCAAAGGAGGTGCTTGTTACATGGAAGAACAGAGATATAATGACAATAAAGCTTGACTGGTCACTTTCAGCAGCTTATTTAAATGCTCCATTCCTGCATTTTTGTGCAGAAACATGAGTCCATTGGTTCCTTCAACTGTTTCTGAATGCGCTGATGTGGCGTTGCGCTATATTTTGCAGATCCATGATGCAGTTTTTTTTCCAGCCCCTCCATTGGTTATTTCAATACTGACACAAGTTCCCTTGCATCTCCAGAGCAAATGGAATTTTTGCAAACTTCACATGCAGCAGACCAGTGTGGCCGTGTCGGTCATGTGTTTCCTTCTCTATTTCTTAAAATATGCAGCTGCTTTTGGTGCCCGTTTCACGTGAGGTTATTGTGTAGAGGTCGGGTTTTACACCCAGACCCTGTTTTCTTTTCTCCATGACTGTGGTGATCATCTGGGCCTAAAACATATGAATAACACTGACACCAGGCAGTAAATCTGTCACGCGGTCGTAAGGGTAATTTCCTGACAGGCCCACCTCCCCCACCCCACCCAGCATCAGTGCCTTTGTCTGCTCCCTGTCCCACACTCCTCAGGCGAGCATCTCATACAGCAGGAAGGTCAGACATCCATCCAGCTTTCCTCTGGAAACATCCAGGGCAGTAAACTCCCAAGCCGCCTCGAGGTTAGAAATCCCATGATTGTTACTGCCTGGCCTGGAGATTTGTCACCGTGACCTTTCGTGGTACTTGGGAGGACGTGACCTCTTTGGCTAAGTGCCGGGCTTTACCATTCAGGTTCTCAACGTGATGTCTAAGCCTTCTTCAGTAAAGCAGGAGAGCGACTCTGCAATGGGATTATATGAGAGTGGTTTATATGCAATGTTGAGTTTGTGCCACCAGCTTTAGTGTTTAGTGCCACTGGATCTGGTAGAGCTCTCTGTAGCAGCAAAGGTGTGATAAGGTAGGGGGGTTAAAAAAGGTATTTCCGGATTGACGTACGTCTAGAAGCCCAGAGTCTCTGATGCCCTCCAGTACCAGATATTCAGGGCCCATTAACATTGCTCTAAAGCAGTCTCCCAATCTGGTCCTCGGGGCATTTTTTGGGAGCAAAAATGTGGACTGTCTGTGGCGCCCAAGGACATGGGTTGGAAAACACTGCTGTAAGGAACATTTAGATGTTAAAGAAGAGTGAAGTCTGGGGTGCACAAGCCCATGGAAACGTGTGGAACTTTATCAGCTTCCTCAATGATCTCACTTTCTTCTGGATTAAAATGGTTTTGGGGCGTCATTTTGGGTCTGCGAGTTTGTCGTATTGGAGAGGCTGTCGAGAGGAGAGTCTGGGGGCCTGACGTCTGGCCGTCGGTGCTGAAAGCATGCAGTCTGCTGGTAGCCGGAGCCTCGTAGAACGCTAACTCTGTAGCACTGGGCATCCACAGGCATGAAGCGGTGATGGGGTGGGGTCTGCTGTCTTCTGGGAGAGGATTATACATCTCATTCTGCTGCGAGACAGATGCTGCACTGTTCTGTTTGTGTGTCTCCTGCCCGCCTGCTGCTGCTGCTGTGTGCGCGTGTCCTGACGTCCCCTACCATCCCTTCACTTTCCGACCTTTGACCCCCGACACTAACCTCCTGGTCTCTGTTCCTCAGGCGGACGTGTAAAAACCTGGAAAAGGAGGTGGTTCATCCTCACAGACAACTGTCTGTATTACTTTGAGTACACCACAGTAAGTGACCCTCTCCCTGCTTTCAGCTCACAACGTCACCATCGTACCCAGAATGGCTTATGGCGTTTTTCCACTGTTACCAAGAACTGAGTGAAATGCACTGACCGGTGTTCTGCACATGGATTATCTGAAGGAAAAAGCATATATTCTATGTGTTGTTCATTATTGGTAGTATCATACATCACAATGTATTGATGCCTTCTCAATTAACTCGGAACTTGAAAATTTCCCACCGGCTTCTTAAAGGTCTGTAGAACAGCCGAACAGAATGAATTCGTAATGCAAATTTACACTGAATGCTTGCGTAAGATGCCGATTATCACAGACTTGCTAGTGGAATTTGGCACTTAGTAAATCATGATTTACACTGTGTGAACAGTAAATAAGCGGCTCTTTTTGGTTTTACATCACTGTTGCTATTCAAAGCTAGCAAAGCCTTTACGGAGCTGACCCTTCTGTGGTGGAAAACCGAAGCCAGCTGGAATCTCGCTGTATCTAGTTTCTGTCTGAGTCTGACTTTGTTCCTGTATGCCAGTGGAAAAGTGCCATGATAGATTAGTAGTTTGTTTTGAGGATTTTCACCCATTGAGGTCTGCCAAGCATGCCTTGTTGGGTGGGGTGGAGCGAGGTGGGGGGGCAGTGGTGGGCAGGGAGGCGGTGTAAGGTGCTTATGGAGCCAATTTGTAGAGAGGGTCAGGGTTCCATGAGGACCCGTCTGACGTTCCTCTGTGATGTCTCCCTTTCATCAGGACAAAGAGCCGAGAGGGATAATCCCTCTGGAGAACCTGAGCATTCGGGAGGTGGAGGACAAGAAGCCTGTAAGTCCCTCCTCCCTCTCACAGAGGCTCTGTCTGACCCTGCCTCGTGGCTCTGTCTGACCCTGCCTCGTGGCTCTGTCTGACCCTGCCTCGTGGCTCTGTCTGACCCTGCCTCGTGGCTCTGTCTGCTGCAGAACTGCTTCGAGCTCTACATCTCTGAGAGCAAGGACCAGGTGATCAAGGCCTGCAAGACAGAGGCTGACGGCCGGGTGGTGGAGGGCAACCACACGTTCTACCGCATCTCAGCCCCCACGGCCGAGGAGAAGGACGAGTGGATCAACAGCATCAGGTGAGCATCAGGTGCCAGGGCCAACTGGCGGCATGTTGAGGGCGGGCGGCTGTCCAACTTCCACTGCGTACCTCTGCATGTAGAACTTAATACTGGGTAGGAAATTGCTGTGCATGCCAGCAGTTTAGGGAGGCATGTTGTCACGTCAGCATAAGCGATGCCCGCATTTGACCTTCAGAGCTGCGTCCAGTTGCTGGTGTAAGTAGTCCATCGCTCTCTAGGAGGAGATATAGGCAAGTTTGCCATAACACCCCCCACCCCCCACTGTGCTTCTGTCCTCAGGGCTGCCATCAGTAGGGACCCCTTCTATGAGATGCTGGCTGCCCGGAAGAAGAAGGTCTCGTCCATGAAGAGGCACTAGGCTGGCCTAGTAGCTGCCTTCCCCCTCCCACTCTCTGTCCCTTTCCCTTCCTCCTTTGCACTTCTGAAATTCAGCCATGTCAATCTCAACCAGTAGGGGGCAGTAAGATGGTTCTAAGGCGGTTTTCCCCTACACTTCTCCAGACCCCATACTGCCTTTGGTTCACATCCTGTCCCTCACTAATGGTCAAACCCCAAATATGCTGTCAGTCAGACTGAGAGACACAGAGCGGCTCTGACAGTGTGGCACACTGAACCAGAATCCTGCAAACAATCTAATGTGCTTTACTGTGTATAGACGATACAGGTAACCTATCTATTTTTACAGCGAACACTGTAATGGTTTTTTTTTTTTATCATTATTATTATTTTTTTTGAATGGTTAATTTTGAGAGACATTTTGTGAGTTCTGAAGACACAAAGGTCGTTCTAACCCTTCTGGAATCTCGTTTACAAAAGAATAATGGTGATGAGTTAAGATGCAGTTTATTTTGCCAAAGCTGCCTCAGAGGTTGGTTTGCCTGACTGGGACATGAAGATGGTACTCAGACAGAGCTCAGCTGTGACCTGGGAGTTTGGGGCACCGGGATTGTCAGAAAGCTTGGATGCGTGTTTGGGTATAGTCCAGCTGTCAGACGGCACGGAAATGGGCAAGGATAGCAGACCGGAGTATCCACAGGGTCTCCGGAAGCTCCTAAATCTGTGACCTGTCAGAATCATGGAAAGATCTTGGCCTGAGCCCTAACTTGGGGCTGCAGGAGGCTTGGTTGGAATTCCTGCAGCCACGGGACCCTGACTTTTGTCCTGAGTTCATCTCCTGCCAAAGGCACAAAATGCTGAGTCTCGGACTGCCACCTCCGTGGCCACAGCCCTCCTCACGATGGACTGGTTAGACTGGACTTCAAAGTTCCTAATAGTTTAATAATGTTCTGCTTACGTTTCATTTACACATCATAATGGGGGGGGGGGGGACTACAGAGCCAGCTGTTTAAACAAATCTGTTTTATGAAGCTTTATCGTTTTTGGTGGGTTCCTCTTAAATCTCTCATCAGTGCACTGATGATCTGACCCCCCAAGTCACATGGCTGAGAGTATTTGTATATTTATCAAGGTTGTATATACTTAAATGTAGAGGATTTGGTCTTTATTTTATATCGTCAAGTATTCAGTTTGTTCAGCAATATCTTAAAATACTTCCTTTTTTTCCACTCCGGTTTCTGATTTCTGTCATGTAATCTAGGATTGGTTTAAAGAAATAAAAGTTAATGAATTTCACATTCTTTGGAGCTGAATGTTTTTCTCCATTGTCGTGGATTAGTGTCACCTCCAGTGGTTCTCCTGGCAGGATTCTAAAGGGCCTCTGTCACTTAAGGGTCCTTACAACACCCAACCCCCCCCCCCNCCCCTCCATAATATTCAAGGGACCTTAAGTATTAAATTGTACAAACATCCCAGTGACTGGACATGATGCCCTTTTCCTTATTTTCATCTTGCATCATTTTTTCATGGAATAAAATTCAATGAGAGATGCACTGATGGGGCTTATAATCACATATCTGCGTATGGCCAAATGCCAAATGCCGTAAATGTAAATAAAGTCGGTTATATTTCTTCTGTGTCATTTGTATGCTTATTGTACTGACATACAAAGGCAAAGCCTTGTGCATTTTATCAACATTGAATTATGACCAGAATCAGGTCTCAGATGCAATTTTATTTCTGCCAAAATATCTTCAAGTATATTTAATTTTGGATTTTTTAATTTTATTTGGAGTAACAACCAAAGACATAGTAAAACTAAGTCAAACACCGTGTTTCTTAGTTGCTGGGTTAGCGTACTTACCGTGTTTCTTAGTTGCTGGGTTAGCGTACTTACCGTGTTTTGCCTTTGTGGGGCATTGTAGGTCTTGAAGTTTTACTCTCCTACAGGTTAACGCCGTGAACACAAGGGGGCAGTCTTTACTGCAGTTCTTTGACCACTTGTTAAAATGCCGTTTCTTACCGACACGACATTTAGAACCCCGTTATTTACATCTAGGACGTAAGATATCCTTACTGAGCCTTATTCGCTTTATTTCGTTAATCGTTTTTATCGTACAAGACTTAAGTTTTTGCAATTGCTAAATTAAGCAAATAGGAATCGCAAATCAACTTCAGCTGTCAGTCACCCAACTTTTCAGGGCTGGTGATGAACGCGATATTCTAGAAACCCCATTTCGACGAAGTGTGTTCTTAATTGTTGACACGATGTAATTGTATGAAGAAAGGAAGGTGATGCTGGTGGTGGCGGAAGAAAAGGCATTTTTTTCATGACGGCATAAAAATTGCCCCCCTTCTTTTCAAGTCTGTTGGCGTGAATAAAAAATCTTCAATCTATTTTATTGCGATTATTTCTGTTTAATTGCAATTTATGCTCCTAGAACGAAGTGAGTGCCTCAGTGGCCAGGGGGTGTTATAGCAGAACGGCGGAGCTCCTAGCCATAAGGGTATGAAAATCCCTCTTTTAGGACCAACACATAGGTTTTAACGGGATCTGAACGCTGCAATTAATTACAGGTGTTCTTGGGAAGCTGCCCGGGTCGGACACTTTCAGTTCCCGCAAGCGAGTACAATTCATACGTAATGGAAATTTATAAGGGAACTGATAAGGTTTGCCTTTAAAATAGGAGTGTCTGGAAAACGTCCATCAAATTGTGCTCTAAGTCACCATAAAACAGTATTTAATAGCACGCATTGTGCTCATTAGTGAGGCTTCCCAGTACGTTTTTTTTTTGTGGGGGGGGTGGCGTTTATGTCGCGCATTTAACAGTTAGCAATTTTAAGAGGTTTGCTCTGTCGATAAATGACTCTTCCACACATTTAGATATTCATACTGTCCATGGCAACTGATTTACAGAAATCTTTTTTTCTGGGTATAGTTGCAACCTTGACCACAACGTGAAATAGAAGAAGTATTATATATGTAAATAATTGCTAGGAAGCTCACTGGGGGGAGGGGGTATGTTCTCCCTTCTCAGTAAAATACAGGAAGTGCAGTTAGTATTGCCGTGAAATTGTGGAAATGCGTCAGTCTTCAGAGCAGCATTTGCTCATTGGTCTCAGGGGCAAGACGTGAGTAACAGGAACATCATTCTGTCCAATTCACTGTATGTACGATGATCAGCCTCAGGCAGTTCCCATAATTACGAATGGGAACTGGGCTGTGTTTTCCAGCTCATGCCCACCCCAGTCAAACAAACCTCTTTGTGAGATACACTTCCCTCCTGGTTTGGTAGATAACGTTAAAAAAAACGACCCTCCTTTACTATGGACTCTCATTTGGAAATCTCATGTCTTGAATATGAGAGGGTCAGATTTCATCCCAGGTGGGGGCCACACGTGGCGGTAAGGAGAACGAGATTTAGCAGGAAGGCCGCAGGTGTGGGTCGATTTACTGAGAACTGCAAACTGGCAGCGATTCAGAGCTTCCTATGCATGGTCTGTGAGCGCAAACAAAACGCAGACAAAACGCAGACAATAGCTCATCCTGGCCCCCGCCTATTTAACTTTATGGAACGGAACTGCGGGTTTTAGCTCCATGGAGCTGGAATGACATTTGTGGCCTAAGAACCAGGCAATTATTATGATTTATGAGTAACTGTGTATAGGCTAAGTATGACCAAATCAGGGTGCCTCTTAGGGCCTGTGGATCCAAAAATGAACAAAAAATAAAATACAACAGGCACCACCAGGAAGATGCAGTGAAGTATTTGCTTGGGATTGTACCCAATCGTTAGTAAGCAGTGAGCTTCTAATAATAATAAAAAATACAGTAAAGGCGTTGCGGCATTGCCTGGGTGTGTCGCCACCTACTGTCCTGCACGTGGAAGCACAGCGGCTCCAGCTTCACGTCCTGCTCTGGGACTCGTTCCCGGTGCGGCCGCACTCAGCGCTGCCTGTACAATGTATTGTCCTCGTTGACCGGCTATCACATGTGGGCTCTTAACCGCTGTCTCACCGTGTGCCGCTGGAAGGGAGGTAACTTAGGCTAATTGTTGATAATATCCTTTAGTCCTTTTCCTGGAAACGACAGCGAGAAGCAGCTTTATCTAATAAGTCCGGCTCACGCACGCCGCACTGCACACATGCGCGCACTCGCATTAACCAGAGCATAAAACTGAATTCGAAAGCTGAAGTCTGAGTTTACCACGCTTCCCCAAGTCACCCGGTCAGACGCCGTTAGAAACCAATGCCACATCAGAAATATGAAATAATCTTTCCTTTTTAAGTTTGAAAATGACTGGCCTGACCAAAGGACTGAAACCATTCAGATAACCACACTGGCGTAGCGCCATAACAAAAGACTATGTAGCTGCCAAAACTGGAGACGCCAAACATCACGCGGCAATTCATTGTGTTTACTTTTAAATGCACTGTTAGAACTTTCCAGAACAATAAATCAAACTCTTCCTGTTAGGAGATTTCTCGGATTATGTATGTCAGGGTTGGTGTCGTAGTATTTTCCCTCATAGTCACCAGAATAAATCCCAAAAGCCCCCTATTGAGACAGGTTTGATTCTCTTCCCCTTTTGACTAAAAATGCTTTTTTTTAACCATGTGCTTCATGCAGTGACTTGTCAAAAAAAAAAAATATTAGCACCAAAACATGATTCCACCGGCATGGGTGGCCAACATGACGGTCACCTTCTGATGAATTATAACAGAAATCAGAAAATCAAATCTGTTCCAGGAAATCCTGTAGTTTTAGGGATTTGTTCATACTGGAAAAATGTAACGGAGGAGAGGAAAAGGGCAGCAAATCCTGGGTGCAAACCCGGTGTGGCAGGATCGGGCCTCAGAGGGAAAAGGCGCCACCTCGCCTGAAAGAGCCGGTAATGCCTGATTGCCGCACCGTGCGGTTAATTAAATGAACTCATTCCATCGCCTAGAAAGCTCCCATGACTTCAGTAGGCCAGGCCAGGCCAGCGCCATCCCCCCCCGCCCACCATACAGTCGCTCTGAGGGAGCGAGGGCAGAATCTGGGTCAAGGGCAGGGTTGACCACCGGGGGGAGGGGGGCAGGGGCCGCTACTCTGGGCCCCAGTTTACCGGCACCAGAGGGGATTGGGTTTCAGATAGCAACACGGAGTAGCTATGGTGGGCTCTGGCAGACCGCTGGGGTGGGGCAGGGCACAGCCAGTGTGAGAGGAGAAACCTGCTTCAGAGAGAGAGAGAGAGAGCCGGGATGAATGAACGACTCAGTCATATTGACTGCCTTTGGGAACACCCCCCCCCCCCACTGTGCTAAGAGACGGATGAATGAGGATCACGGAAGGATGCCACTAGCTTCCAGCAACACACAGATTAAACATTAACGAGGTTCTGAGCGCCGGCTGCTGGCTTCCTCTCAGCGCCTCCGAGCATCGCTTACCGCCAGTGCCGTGACGTCACGCGGCTATTTCCAGCGGCCGCGGCCGTCTTTAACCCGCTGATGTCAGTCGCTGCCCCTAATAGTTGGGCGCTCTGGCATGGACAAGCCGGCAGCAGGAGGCCAGCTGATTCGGGACACGTGGAGGTTGTCGGGTCAAATCCCACAAGGGGCATTGCTCTTGTACCCTCAAAATAGAGGTATGATTGCATTGAGTAAAGGCCTCACAGCGTAAATCTGTAAAATGAGGTTGAATGGTAATTGAAGTGGTTAAGGGAGCCTCTGCTGTTTTGGAAAATCCTTCAGACTAGCAGTTCCGAACCCCCAGGCGTTACTCCAGCGGACTGTGGAACACTGGGGCTTTTGGGGAAGGGTTGGGTAATTTCCAAAATGGATGAATGGACTTTCAAGCCATGACCTTTCTTATGACCCTTGTGTTCATTCATACTGATCACACATTTAAAAATGGAAATGATTAAACTTATGCGCCCCCCTAACTCTAACCCCTCCCCCCTACTTTAGACAGGTTTTGTAAAATAACTGCAAAACTGACATGTTGAGCTGTAAAACACATAAGACAAAAAATATAAAAAGAATTTGTGGCCATTTTCCAAGAGGAGGGGCCTGAGCCGGGGGGGGGGCATGCCGCTGTGTTTCCCTTTGGCATGATGGGACCTTATAATACTTATATTCACTCTTATAGCAGCTTACAACCGCTGCCTGCCATCTACATAATGGCCCCTTCCCCCACCCAGCCAGTGTGACTTACAGTACCTGGAATCCAGTGTTTGGTATCTGTCTTCCTTTTCATAACATCACTGTATAATTTCCACTGTATGTTTGCATCCAGCTGCAGGAGTCTGGCTGCGTTTGACCTGTAGTTCACAGGTGGAGATGGAGTTGCGTTCTGTCGTTACCGCGCGCCACCCGAAATGTCGTCGTTCTCGTTTTGACGCTACACCTCCCTCTCAGCCCTTCCTGTTCCTTGTGCTGCAGCCGCCCGTGGCAATAAACAGCCCCCGCTTTGCGGGAAAAGCCATAGCCAGAAGGACACCTATCTGATGACATCCGTGTGATTCTGTTCAGCGCAAACGCTGGCTTCCTGCATGCGGCCCTTCAAAGGCCCATTGTGCGCAATTATACAGAAATACACTCACCGGGCAGCCAGCGAGCGGCAAGGGGACATGATGAGGAGCCGCGGTCCGTCCCAAAAGGTCACAATCATGCATCATAGAGACAGGAAAAAGCAACCAGTTCTCTGACATGGACAGAGATGTGGGTCCCCTGACAAAATGTCACACGGACCCTCCACTTGGGTCGGTACTTTTATCATGAAGAAATAGAGGTGCCATAATAGATAGAATTTGCCGAGCTGATGGGGGGGTTCCCTCAGTCAGTTCTCCTGAACTGGGGCCCCAGAATCTGCCAGGGTATCCATGCCTGTTTGACACCCCTGGTCATGTGTCAAATGTGTACAGTTTAGTAATATTTGGCTCTCTAAGTTTACCATACAGGTGTGGGGGGTTACCCTGCAATTGACTGCGGACCGATATAAGGTGTTTCCTGCTTTGTGCCCTGCGATTGGACTGGATAAGCACCAAAGGGAAATAAAATCACTGTATAACCAGAGGTGGAAAGTTCATGTCCAGAAAGTAAAAATCCAGACCAAGATTTTGTTTCAACCAACCAGTTGAATGTGAATGTGACTCTGTATACTCAGTTGGTTGGTTGAAACAAAATCTTGGACTGGAATTGTACTTTCTGAACCTGAACTTTCCACCTCTGCATATAACCTAGATTATCAGAAACGGCATAAGACTTTTTTGTCGATAGTAGCACAAGCAGGGCCAGAAATACAGGCAGGACAACAGCAATTCGAGCAACAGGATATTATTAGTAGCTACAGGAAAAGAAGGTTCTTTAAGGATATTGTGGAGGTCACCGATGACATAACTACAGCTACAAGGGGAGCCGGCGTGGTGTTTGCAGCCAATGGGAATCCTCTTTGGAGCATTTCTCAGACGCGGATACAGAGCCACTTCAGATGCCTGCTGCCTGAGAGCACAGGACATGATTCTTCCTGTTTATTCCTCCTCTGCCACCTTGCCAACCGGGGTGTCACCCAGTGTCACCGCTTATGGAGGAAATGCCCAGTCAAGTGAATACGGCCTGGTTCTCCACGATGCCCGGAAGCAGAAGGTCGCCAAAGCAGGGTTATCATGTTTTCTTCTCAAACTTGTGTCTTTTTGGATAGGTTCACGTCGTGAAACGTTCTTTGAGGCACTGGAGTACGTACAGTGTCAGAAAAATGGGTACAAACAACATTAACGTACCCCAATGATACAAAAATGTTCCTCAAAGTGTATCTCAGTACCTTATAAGGTACATTTATCTACAGCTAGGGTACAACTGGTAGATCCTTGAGGGTACAGCCCCAGTGACAAGTAATTATACCATCAAAAGTACAAATTGATACTTCTTGGTAATTGAACTGTGCCCCCCTCTCATCAACCTCACCCATGGCAGATGTTTCTAGGACTTTGCACTTCACCCAAAAGGTCCAGAGTCCTGGTGGGGTGTTTGTCCCTCGCACTGCCACCCTGTTTGTACATGTGGGTTGGTTTCACGAGGGCTGTGATGAGTCATTGTCAGTTCCTTTTCATTTGTTAGAAGTGCACCGACCGTGTAAATGCCAAAATACACTATAGATTTCACAGAAACAGCCCTGAGTGTAACCAGAATGCAAACATATATTTCACACATGTCAGGTGTGTCTTATGAGCTATATGATTATTATCGCTGCGGCTGCTGCACTGGGATTTGACCCAGCAACCATGTGGTTACCAAGTCCCAGCGTTAGCCACCAGGCTAGGCTAGCACCTCTTTGGGCCACCTGTCTTACCTGAAGAGCTTCAGAGATGGAGCCTGGGAGTTGTGACACGACGCAGAGACGGCCTGTCACAGCAGCACTCTGCCGCTTACTCCCCATCGATGGAAAACATCCAGCACCATCTTCGCAAAGTAATGCGGCACTGAAGCTTCACCTGATCGCTTGGAAACCAGCTTGGCAGAGAGGATGGAGAAAACAGAGCTGAGGAAATGGGGCATTTAGGCCTGGAGCTGCACACCGCTTGCCCAGCGCTGTAACAGTCGCGCCTGTGTGACACACGCTATCTCTCACCAGCCAACCCCGGCTGTCAGTGAGGCGTGTTGTGCAGAGGTGGAAGGTTCAGGCCCAAAAAGTACAAATCCAGACCAAGATTTTGCTTCAATAAACCAGTTGAGCATCTGTGACTGTGACTCTTTAGATTCAACAAGTCGGTTGAAACAAAATCTTAGTCTGGATTTTTACTTTCTGGACCTGAATGCTTCTAACTACAGACAATGCAGTTTCTCCAGTAATTACATTATGAGTCCAGCAAGTTCTGCTTTGCCTGCAACAAAAGAACACTTTGTTTCCCATAGAATCCCACATGATCCCTCCCCTTCATAGCCAGCAGCCATTAGTAACGAATGTTCATTCCAACACAAAGATGCATACTTTCCTCCCCCCTCTAGAAGGCAGCAAAGGCCTGGAGGTCCGGTCCGGACTCTGCAGGTGAGCTGTGGACCGGCTGCCTGGGGCTTGCTGGACATCGCCTGGACTTTGCACTGGTGTCCCGCGGTTTTTACTGGCATGTCAATCATCCCAGTGATGCAGCAGAGAAGAACGCCGATGATTCAACAGCTGGGAGAGAAACAGGGCGGGTGGCTGGAAAGGACACCTAACAGCAAACTGCGATTCTCGGCGCAGCCTTCTGCGGAAGGCGCCTTCCTCTTTCTGGGGGGGGGGGGGGGGGG